TGAAAAACTAGGCACTGTAATCATATACATTGAGAATATTTGTCTCAGTTGTTTATAAAGAATTGCACATGTGATACGAGTCTTGGGTGAGAAGCATAATCCTCAGAGTTGTGGTGATAACGCACAACTACCTATCTTTGAGCTAACCAAGATTTGATATCAAAAGACAGTGAACGATAACCAGTCCAGTTGGGTTTACACAAAACACAAACTATGGTTGGCTAATTATGGGTTGATGCAAATATAACCAAGAAATAAGTAGTGGTGGTCTTCAAAGAGGCTGAGGAGAACAAAAGGAGAAAGTTTGTATTAGTAGACAATTGTGGCCTGCGGAATATTATTTTTAGCTTTGTTTGTTTCCACATTTCAATTATTTAAATTCTTCATATTGTAATTCAGGCCTATTCCTATTCAGGAATAGGACTGAATTTTTATACTCTTCCTTTTCCTGGCATGATATAGTCTATGATGGGATCTCTCTGATGTGATGCACTGGTAATGGTACAGATTATGTATTAATTTGTTGCTTCACATCATTTCCATGTTGCCCCAATCAGTTACCTCTTGCATTGAGCAATAAAGCCATTCATAAAGCACAACATCTATGAAAATAACCCTATGCGAACCCTCATTAAAATCACTAAAGCATAACAAGAGCATAACTGAAAGAAATAAACACAATTAAAAGTCACCTATTGTTCTTTTGCTAGAATCTAAAAAGCTTGCTGAAGAACATTGGTTTTCAGTGCCTGCTGGAATGCCGGAAGCAGGACATCTGGGGTGATGGGGGTAATGGAGTGAAAATTTGAATTTGTGTGTGCCACATAGAAAAGAGGCAGAACTTTGATTATGTAGTCAAACTACTATTGTGATTTTTTTTTTTTTTGGCAGTCAAACTGACAAAATCAAGGACACCTCTGGGGCACCATAGGGTGAAGAGTCACCTTGGAGAAAACCCACCTTCCTTTTTATCTCTCACAGGAACCAGCCTTCAAGCAGACACTGAACAGCATCATGTTGTGGGAAGAGGTCCATAATTGAGTTAATCCAAATTGACTGAGTTTATGTCACATACCACATCAAAAAATATTTTGTGCAGAAAGTAGAGTACTTATAGTACTAAATTTCAGTGTGCTTCAAAGGAATGGAGCAGCCTGATGCTGAGCAGAGAGTAAGAAGTACAGCGCTGGCTATGGAACTGAAGGAGGCTTCATGGGAGATGGAGTTACTCTTATCCATGGAGCTTTCCCATCCATTACAATATAATGAAATGGGTCAAGAGGTAGCCGTGCAGGGGTGGGCTTCAAAAATTTTAGCAAGGGGTTCTCTGCCCGGTTGATGGGTGGGCGTGGTCATGGTGGGTGTGGCCTAGTCGGCTTTCTGCATCACAGCGGGAAGGGCATTTTTGCCTTCTCCAGACTCCGGAGGCTTTCCTTGAGCCTCCGGGAGGCCGGAAACGGGCCTGTTTTTTGCCCTCACCAAGCCTCCGTGCACGCCCTGCACTTACCTGCATCCAAAATGGGCCATGTGGGGACTCCTGGGAGAGGTGGGGTGGGCGGGACGGGGCGAGCCAGGAGTGGGATTTGGGGGTTCTCCAAAACTGCACAGAATCTTAGCTAGAGGTTCTCCCGAACCCCTGCGAACCTCCACCAGCCCACCCCTGTAGCCCTGGTACCTTAACCAGATGGAAAATCCCCAGCAGCCTAGGAGAGAGATTATTGAGAGGTACCGTGCCTGAACCTTATATTCTAATAGGTCTAAATCAGGGGATGTGTGTCCAACCTTGGCAACTTTAAAGCTTGTGGACTTCAACTGCCAGAATTGGCTGGCTGGGGAATTCTGGGAATTGAAGTCCACAAATCTTAAAGTTCCCTAGGTTTGACACCCTGGTCTAAATCCAAAGGCATAATTGCTCTGAATTAAACTGTCCCTTCTTTACCTCTGCATAGAGAGATGGAGATGTGATGGGGAAGGTTTTGTCATAGTGTCAACAAAAAAAAGCATCTTCAGCAACATTCTGCCTCAGTTTCTCTTTCAAAAGTTTCTTGCAACATGAGAGTGGGAAAGAAACGTGGCTAGAAAAGGAACAACTCTTACTCTACTAGATCAGAAGACCTCCAAAGTCCCTTCCAGCCCTGTGATTCTGTAAGTATCGAATCTATAAGAACAAAGCACTGGGTTTTTTGAAGTTTAAATTAATCTGTTTCCTTACAACTAATGGCTTAATGATTGTATATTGAAAAGATCCATTAAATTAAAATACCAAAGATTTTTAAAAAGTCTGTCACTCCTGAGAATAATGTCTGCAGTGCTATTAAATCAGATTTTTTAAAAAAGAGAATCAGTAATTGTCTTTTTACTCTGATAATAATGAAATGTTGCCATGAAGCCATTATACAAGCTAACCCCTTCAAAGCCCCATCGTTTTCGACCTATATATATATATATCGACAAGCATTAATGAGAGTTCTATGTATGTCCTTTGAATATATAATAGTATTTCCTTTAAAGAACAGCCCGGAAATATTAGCACTACAACTCCCAGAATCCATTTTGCACTGGCGAGACCATTTTCCTTTTCTCTAGCATGCAGGGACTAGTAGTTTAAGGCTTGCTTTGCTCAGCTTCAGGTTTCGAAACACCTGTCTCAGCTCGAAGAATGCTTTATTTGGGGAAAGGTGCGGGGGGAGAAAAATCTGCAAACAGAACCCAGTTTTGGGCTATGCAAATAAACCACGTCGTCTTGGGAGAGCCGGGAGTTATAGTCCTCCTGCCATGTGGAAACCGAAACGCTTTGCCTGAAATTAAGCAGAAGCGTCTGATTAACAGCCTCGGTGTGCTTGTTTCTGTGAGTTGTCAATTTCACGTTTGTACTGTTCGTGGGGAAGGGGAAACCCTAAAAGTAAGCCTTTTCTGAGGGAAACACGTGCAAACGAATCGTGCGGCTGCGTCCCGGCGAGGAATAAAGGGCCCCGCCCACTCATAGAAGAGTGAAGAACCGGCCAAAGTGAGAGTCACGAATGAATGAATGAATGAAATTTAAGAATGAATGAAATTTAGATTGAGACATTTCTTAGTCTCTCTCTTTTTTTCCCTCCCGAGGTTGATTTTCTCCTATTTTGTTCTGGATTCCCCCCCCTCCCCGTTTACAAAATTATTAAATTGGGGTTTGGTGGGATCATCAAGAGGTATGTTTTTAATGCCTCGAGAGCTGCCGGATGAAAATGCCCAGAAAGAGGATCGTGTCTTTACGGTGTATTTTATGCCTCTTAACGAGATTAGCTTGAATTTGGCTGGACTTTTCAGGCGAAACTCTGTGCCTGGATAGATTCTTATAACTGATCAGTTCATGATTTACTTAATGGAAGTAAGCGACTTGCGTTTGTAGGACTAGCAACCATATACAGGTAGTCCTCGCTTTACAACAGCTCCTTTAATGACTAAAGTTACACCGGCACTGAAAAAATGTGATTTACGACCGTTTTTTTACAGTTACAACCTTTGCCGCATTTCCTGTGATCATGTGATCGAAATTCAGATGCTTGGCAAACTGGTTCACATGTATGACAGTTGCTGTTTCCCAAGGTCATGTGATCACCGTTTGCTACCTTTTGATAAGCAAAGTCAGTGGGGAAGCCAGATTCATTTAACGACCAGGTTGCTAACTCATCAACTGCAGTGATTCACTTAATTGGGACAAGAAAAGCTGTGAAATGGGGCAAAACTCACTTAAAAACAGAAATTTTGGGCTCAATTGTGGTTGTAAGTCGAGAACTACCTGTATTAGCCAGGATGCTATGATCTCCCAATGGTTGGGACCTGCGAAACTTGGTTTAAAACGTGTCCTCCTGGTGCTTTATTCTTAAATATGATTTGCTGATCTGTTTTTCTTAACCTTGTGTGTATTTCTGTGTGTATAATAGTCTTCAATATTCTGCTTAAAACCAAAACCTACAGTGTATATAACACTTTGAGGTAATCATCTCTTTCTTCTTCCAAACCTTAACTTAGTATGAAAAAAAAATCAATTTTCATACCTTTACTATACATTCCTAAATTGTAATTAATACTGATAAAGGACTTCTTTTCTTCTCTATTTCTAATACTCTGCTTTATCTAAACAATAGATCATACTATAAAACAGTAATACTGTATAAGTATGGTTTTGAAAAAAATATAATGCATCAAGACTTATAACAATTTAAATTTATAACATAACTTATAACATTTTAAATTTTTAATGTATTTTAAAATTATGGGTATTTTAAATTATGGGTATTAATTCAGCCAAATTTATTTAATTCATTTTATTTGATTTTAAATTTTGTATATCTATGTGTTTTATTTCATGGCTGTACACCGCCCTGAGTCCTTCGGGAGTAGGGCGGTATAGAAATTCAATAAATAATAATAAAATAATAATAATAATAACAATAAAAAGGAAAAAAAAACCTTTTGTCATAAGGGCCTACATTGCCTTTTTGAAATCAGTTACTATCCTTTAGTTTAGCATCCCAAAATGACTTGTTATAAAGGCTGGTTAAGGATGCTAAATTGGAAACTCTGAAGGGGGAGCTGCCCTGAACCTAAATATAACATGTAATTAATGCCTAATAGTAAACTTTACCAGAACAATGTTGTTGTAATGGTGGCAGGCTGATTGGCAATGGGAAATTTTGAGTGGCTGCAAGGTTCTCTGTATACAGATGTTTAGGCTATTCCTTTATTAGCACTACTGTAGCACTTAGGTGCTAAAGATAGAAGAAAGACATGTGGGTGGCTGATATATGAAAATTGCACTTTTAGATGGGAACTGCAAGGACATCTCTGCTTCCCTGCCCTATTGTACTAAATCATAAAGTAGTTTATAGAGGTAGGGTGTACCCCAAAACAAAGCCAAACAATGGCTATAATTTTCCAGTTCTTTAAGGAACCGGTCTAAAAACTGGAAGAAAAAAAGATCAGTGTTGTTAGATAATGAATGAATAGGCCATAATTCTTCTGCTTTGTTTAATTTTTCGAGATCCAAAGTCCAAAGGGTGGAGCTGGCTTGCACAGGCTTGTGGTATGGTTTAAAAGTTTCTGAGTGAGAAGGGGATAAAAGGAAGAATTTAGTATAGCCAGGAGCTAATAAAGTTGGCCGTTCCCCGCCCCATGAAATTAACACTTACCTGACCAGAAATATTTAGGAGGTGAGATTTTCCACATCATTTCCTCTGTACTTGCTTGGGAGAAGTGTGACAAGAAGGACTTATTCCAATGATCATTGAATGCCTGACCAATCATAGCTTTGTGTCTTTGTGTGCTTCCATCATAGCCTATTCAAAGAGAAAGGTATGGGATGAGATATCTTTTTATGTGTGATTGACAGCAGGGATTGGTTGGTGAGTACTATTCAATTGCTTCTAGAGATGAAAACTTAATGAAACACTATATAGCACTTCCCGAAATATATTAAAATGAAAAGGAAAGTTCATGCTAAATAATATTGGAGCTGTAGAAGACTAGCTAGGTTTTTGCCTCATAATCTATGCAAGTCTATTCACAAGTAAATTGCCCTGAATTCTACACAGCTTATTCCTGATAGATTGGAATACAAGTTTATAGATTGTAATCTAAGTAGCTAATATATCACGCCTGGTTGTAGAAGCCCTTTTGTTTCGAGACTGGGTTCTGAAAGATTGGGTTGTGAAAATGTATAAAATAAATTCCTTGTGTGTCCAATCATACTTGGCCAATAAAGAATTCTATTCTACAATATATTTGCAGACATTTAATATAATTTGGGGATTTATAGAGAACTGGGAATTAATATTTTCAGGAGACAAACATAAATAAAATAGACCAGGCACAGTTAATATATCATGAGAATTTGGTACATTATCTAAAATTGTCATGTGAATGCATTTTGTAGGAGGAAGGGGCAATCTCTGTCCAGTGGAAATCCAGCCTGGAAAAAAAACTCTGAAAAATAATAATCTGGGATGGGTGTAAAGAGAAGGAACTGTAGCTTTATTATCACCTGAACCACATACGTTGTTGTACCGCCTCCTATTCAGGAGAATGAAAGAGCCCTTTTTCCCCAAAGTTACAAAATATTTCGCGTTCCACATTGAGAAAATACAATGCTCATAACAAAAGCTCCTCTCTAGGATTATTGGTCTAAAATAATGTTTCCCAACCTTAACCATTTTCTTCATGTTGACTGAGGAATTCTGGAATTTAAAGTCCATATATTTTACAATTTAGTACATTATGCATGAAATAAATTATAAATTATAACCAGATATTGCATGTGGAAATTTTTACTTGCTTTTTCCTGCTTATCCTTTAAAAATATATTTTCATATTTTTTTGATATTAAAATTTTGATATTTTTTTAAAAAGGCAAAAAATATGTTGGAGATAAATGAACTGATTTGATATCAGATTTGAAACTCATAAATACAAATAATATAGATAAAACTATATTGAGTGCTTTTAATGCTTGCATATTTTGAAATATAAAACATGCCCATTTGATTCATGTGTAAAAGTAATTTTTAAAGTCTAAGATAATGCTCTCTCACAAGGATTCTTATTCAGTATCAATGAAGAATGGGTAACCTGTGTTGGAGCATTATTTGATGCATGAAGATGCTTCTGGCGCTCTTTTTGAAGCCACAATTTAGTAGCAAGTTGTTCAGAGTTGTTTTATCTGGCATTTAAAAAGTAATCTATGCATCATGAAAAAGCTGTTGAATTCTGGTCATTATTATTTCAGAGTGAAGGTGACGGGGTGTATCACATTTTTCAAAGCTCCTTAAGGGTAACAACATATGTTCTCTGCAAATAGTGTTGGAGCTAGTTCACAGAGAGGAAAGTCAGGTTAAATATTTTTTTCCCCTGAGTGCTAATTAGCTACTTGCAAGCATTGTTCTTTAAAAAAATGACTATATTTTTATTTCCTCTTACCGGACAGATATCTACCAGAATTATATATTCTTACTTTCTTTGAACTTGATGTGTTTTAAGATAATTGATTCTTGGACTTAAAAGTGTTCAGACTTGTCCGAATAGAGTTTTTTGCCAGTGGAGGAAACAAAGCATTATTTTAAAGACTACTAAATTTATTATTATGTAAACTAATCTTTAGAATGCCACAATAATCCATTGTTTTTTCTGCAGCAGTTCCACATCCTTCTGGATATTATTAAATAACATGAAGGATCTTATTAGATTCATTTGATATTAATTGTTGCTTCTTTTACATGTTCAAAGAAGTATCTAGATTAAACTGCCATTGAAGTAAGGCCTACAGAGTTCAATGGGACTTATTCCTGAGTGTGTACAAAATTGCCTTGTGTATTACTTGTGTATTAGATATTTAATCTAAAGGTGAGAGAAAGTAAGTATTGAGAAATTTTGGAAGCAGCTGGGAGGACTGACAGTTACCATATGTTTCTAAAACAAACACAGGACTAGCCAAATCTTCAACACCAAGTGATAGCAGGATGAATTTATTGTCTCTCTTGCAGCCATTTGTTTTCCTATTGAAGCAGAAAACAATTCATTGTGAAGTCACAGAGGGACATGGCCAGTTTACTTGGGCCTATTTGTATATTTGATATTTGCAATGGACTTTCACTGTTCACGCCCAAAGTATATGATAACTGATATGGTAACTGATATTCATGGTCTTAATTATATACTTCAGTGTTTGATGGGAAAAAAGTAAAAAGGACTGAGTTTTTTTAGTCAACCACTGGTATGCTTCAGGTCTCTTGGAATGCAATCCACCTCTTATTTAGTTTTGGGGTGTGAATGTGAGAAGCAAATTTACTAATTGCTTCAATTGTGATGCTATACGAGTAACTCTTACTCTTTCATTTGCGGTATACAGCTGCTGATGTACAATGCATTGCATTTATTAAAGGTTGGTAGATTTTTCTCACCATCATGTTTAGTTACCTTCGCTTCTCTTGCCTCAGCAGATGACAAGCCCTGGCAGAGATTTCTGGATTTGGAACCTAAACAAGATTGAGCCTGGTTAAGACTGTAGATGGGCAATACCAGGGCTGTAGACCAGGGGTGGGTTCTACTTATCTTTACTACCGGTTCGCAAAGGGATCATGCGCATGTGTTCTCACCTTACGTCTGCGCATGCACAGATCGCTTCTGATGAAGTCAGGGTCAATGGGCGGAGCCTCCTGCCGGTTTTACTACCGGTTCTATAGAACTGGTCCGAACCGGGGGCAACCCACTACTGCTGTAGACCAGCCTGGGAATTAAAAAATAATAATCCTAGAAGAAACAACTTCCTTATTGTTGCTGAGAAAATGACATAGATATATCCATGACCTCTGCTGCTAAAGCAAAATGTGTATTAGGAAAATATTCAGACCCCCTTCACTTTTGTCAGTTTTGTTATGCTGCGGCCTGATTCTACAGTTGTTGAAATACATTTTTTTCTCATTAATCTACGCTCAGTACTCTTAATGACACACACACACACACACACACACACACACACAGTGACCTTTGATTTAGAATACGTTTCAAGGTTAACTTGCAGTCAGCTGTATTACTCAACCTCATTTCTTCAGAATTTCACTTCTTTGAGTGAATATGATTGTGAATTATGCCTAGATAATTATAAGGAACTAGGTGGGGGAATGATTAGAGATGACTTGTTTCCCACAGTGGGTGAAACAAAAAAATCCAAAACCTGAGGAAGTTGCATGATTTTGAGCACCACAGTTCATGTATTGTGTTAAGGCATAGTCCGCTTCATTGATTTAAACATTACATGTTGTGGAAACATTTGTGATTTAGCTTCACAATTGCATACCGGTAGTCCTTGACTTACGACCACAGTTGAATCCAAATTTTCTGTTGCTATGTAAGACAACTGTTAAGTGAATTATTCCCCATTATACAACTTTTCCTGCCATGGTTGTTAAGTGAATCACTGTAGTTAAGTTAGTAACACTGTTGTTAAGTGAATCTGGATTCCCCATTGACTTTGCTTTGTCAGAAGGTTGCAAAAAGTGATCACATGACTGCAGGACACTGCGATCATCATAAATACATGCCAGTTGCCAAGCGTCCGAATTTTGATCATGTGATTTCAAGAATGTTGCAACAGTTGTATGTCTGAAAAACATTCCTAAGTCATTTTTTTCAGTGCCATTGTAACTTCAAATGGACACTCAATGAATGATTGTAGGTTGAGGACTGCCTGTATGGTTAAACACAATATAGCTTCACATCATGTCTGAACACAGTTTAGTGTGAGCTTATTTTTTTCCCTTATAGACTTATTTATTTTTTATTTTATTTTTCCTATTTACATGGCTGCTAAGAGTTGAAAATGACTTGATGGCATATAATTTTGCTGGGTTATACAGTCTGGTGATTTCCAGTCTGTAGTCTAGGGTATGGATGTAAAATAAAAATAATTCAGGCCATTGCTAAATTTGGTGAATTTTTAGCACTTTTGCTTAACCTTATGTCAACCTTGCAGGATAAACCAAACAGGAACCATGACCAGGTGAGCTATTTCTACTTTATTATAAAGCTACACTGACAGAATCGTGCAAGTATGAAGTTAAATCCTCCACTCCCCCACTTTTTCTTTATAGCCCAAGAAACTAGGGAGGGTCTCTTCTTAGCCTCTTACCCCACATACTACCCAGCTTTTCTGTCTTTTATCTAACCGTTCCCTTGGCACAGTGGTGGGAGTCAAATTTTTTTTCTACCAGTTCTGTGGGCGTGGCTTGGTGGGCGTGGCTTGGCTTGGTGGGCGTGGCTTGGGCATGGCAGGGGAAGGATACTGCAAAATCTCCATTCCACCCCACTCCAGGGGAAGGATACTGTAAAATCTCCATTCCCACCCCACTCCAGGGGAAGGGAAGGATACTGTAAAAATCTCCATTCCTACCCCACTCCAGGAGAAGGATACTGTAGAATCTCCATTCCCATCCCACTCCAGGGGAAGGATACTGTAAAATCTCCATTCCCAACCCCACTCCAGGGGAAGGATACTGTAAAATCTCCATTCCCACCCCACTCCAGGGGAAGGGAAGGATATTGTAAAAATCTCCATTCCCACCCCACTCCAGGGGAAGGATACTGTAGAATCTCCATTCTCACCCTACTCCGGGGAAGGGAAGGATACTGTAAAATCTCTATTCCCTCCCCACCCCACTAATCTGCTTTCCAGCTCCGTTCTCCTATGCAGGGCAACAAAAGAAGACTCAGCAGATCAGCTGGGACTCGGGAGGCAGTGAATAGTTTAGGGGCGGGGCCAGCCAGAGGTGGTATTTGCCAGTTCTCCGAACTACTCAAAATTTCTGCTACCATTTCGCCAGAACAGGTGAGAACCGGCTGAATACCACCTCTGCCTTGGCAGCATATTTTCACCCAGTCTCCCAAAGTCTTTCTCACATACCGTTACACCTTGTTAGAGATCAGTCAAGAACACCTACAGTAATGAGATTTGTCAATGTCAGCAATTACTATGCATTAAAAAAAAAGATTTTATAAAAGTGGGTTTATTGAGTGTCCCCTCAAATTCATTCATAGGCATTACATTACTGATGCCTATTTTAGGTGGTGGCCTTTAAACCATGACACAATGGTTTGTATAAAACAAAAGGTTGTGAGCTGAGCAGCTGGTATAGTCCTTACTTAGAGGTCTCCAAAGTTTGCTAAGAGGAAGCAACCCCCCCCCAAACCCCAAAAACCTCCAGTGTGAATATCATAAAACCCATCTGTTAACATCAGAACTGTTTCCATCTTTGCAAGCCCCAAACACATTTCTCTTGGTAGGTGGAGAACACATTTGATAATACCTTACATCATGTCTGCATCTGATAGGACCCAATTTACATGTCTGCAGATTCTTACAGCAATTGTCTAATCTGCTGCAGATCTCACAATAATACTGGTCAAATTCCCCAGGTGTTTTAACATTCTTACCTGATAGTAAGAAACTTGATGGTTGACCAATGCAAGTATTGCTGCAAAATAGATTAACACACAAATTGACAACTGGAGCAGCATAAAAACCTAGTAAAATAATAAAATGCCTCTTTGCAGTTATCACGGGGATTCTTTTGTTGATTAGATTTGCATATAATTGCAACCAAACAAGGCTGATGATAGTTAATAGCAAAGTAACACTATATAAGAATATAAATACAATGCCCAAGGTAATTTAAAAAAAAAAATTTGTAAAAAAAATAGCAAAATCTTACAACTATGTAATCAATGGCATCGTCCTGTTCTCTACAAGGGTTCTGAAAAAAATTCTATCTTTAGTAACAACGTTAACAATGTCAGAGTAAGTCTCACTTGAGAAAGGCTGTACTGTAATCCAGTTGCATTCATTGGAAAACAGTGTCTGTGTACCCAAGTCAGGGGCAAACTGCAGTTTCTCCTAGGACATGCAAATCAGATGGGTTGATTCTGGTTGGTGAAGTTAAGGCGTAAAAGTTAGGGCTGATGTATTGAGTTTGCATATAAAGGTGTGTGGGTAATTTATGGTAATCCATCCTTTCCTATTACCAGAAAGGTAATGGGGGGGGGAGTCCTCATCTGAAAACATTGTTGGCACTGTGAGAAAATGCCAAATGTCACTAATGGAGTATTCTCTTCCTTAAAACAATGCTACTGTCAAATTCATTTCCTCCAATATAATTCAGAAGTTCTTCATTACCAAGTAAATGTATTTTGGACCATACAATTAGCATTCTTCTCCTGAGTTTAGCTAACTACCGGTAGGTTATCATTTTGGGGTGGTGGGGAGGCTCTTGTCCATTTTCTAAAATTAATTTCAGTTTGATGAGACTAAAGTGTTGACTTTACAGCATTTTTTTTAAAAATAGCCATTTGGAAATTCCACATACTTCCACAAATTTCCATTTGTGCCCATTGGGATTGTGGACAAGGTGCAGTGACTCACAACTTGCTTATGACTTTAAAGTTTGTGAAGCAGTACACATCGCCATAAAGAAACTGTAGTCCTCAAATATTTTTAAAAAAATATAAAATAACAAAATTGTACTATTAAATTGAGGTAAGGACTGGGCTCCCAAATTCTCTTAAATTCCAGTTCTGTTTCTTAGTAAAGCACCTAGTCAAGCTAAATTTATCTTTGGATATGTTGCTTTTTCTTTTTATGTAATTTAGAAGTTTCGGTTGATGCTTCTAGAGAAATTCTGTAGAAGAGGAGGAATGATTGGAAAGGGAAATAAACCCGTGAAAAGACCTGTTCAACAGGGAAGTACTTAAGGAACAATATTTTACGGTCTAAACACTTTTCTCTGCTCAGCTAGTTCTTCCAAATGTAAAAAAAAACTATGTTATAGTTGTCTAGGTTGTTGTTGTAAGATGGGAAGCTGGCAGTTTTAAAAATCTCTTCCTATGACTGTGTTTCTCAACCTCAGCAACTTTTAAGATATCTGAGCTTCAAAACATGCAGCTTGGAAATTCTGGGAGTTGAGGTCCACACATCTAAAAGTTTGTTTGTTTGTTTGTTTGTTTGTTTGTTTGTTTGTTTATTTATTTATTTATTTATTTATTTATTTATTTATTTATTTATTTTTCAAATTTCTATACCGCCCTTCTCCTTTCGGACTCAGGGCGGTGAACAGCCAAGATAAAAACATCTATACATAACATCACAGTTAAAAATAAAGTTTAAATAATTTATAAATTTGGCCCATAATTTAAAACTTGTCAATTAAAATCAATATTAAAATTTTAAAACTAACCCTAAAATCAAGACAGACTGGCTAACTGAAAAAAATAAGTTTTTAGGGCCCGACAAAAAATCCGGAGGTCAGAGATCACTCGTATCTCTGGGGGTAGATTGTTCCATAGGGTAGGCGCCACCACAGAGAAGGCTCTCCTCCTGGGGGTCGTCAACCGGCATTGTCTGGCCGACGGCACCCTGAGGAGGCCCTCTCTGTGGGAGCGAACCGGCCGGTGGGAGGCTATTGGTGGCAGAAGGCGGTCCCGTAAGTACCCTGGCCCTAAGCCATGGAGCGCTTTAAAGGTGATCACCAACACCTTGAAGCGCACCCGGAAGTCCACCGGAAGCCAATGCAGCTCGCGCAGGAGAGGAATCACATGGGAGCGCCCCGTCACTCCCATAATTCCCCGCGCAGCCGCATTCTGCACCAGTTGGAGCCTCCGGGTGTACTCCCAAGGGGAGCCCCATGTAGAGAGCGTTACAACCTCAAAAGTTGTTGAGGTTGAGAAGCAGTCTTTTAGATAGAAACTCTCTGGTTCTTTGTATATCCTGGCCCTGCTTCATTCTTGCTGTAGCAGCTTGGTAGTTCTTGCTACCACAATTTATCTTCCAAGGGATGCCTTGCACGGCGCCCTGATCCTAATCTCTGACAATAGCTGTTTTCTTTATAATCTCAAGCAGCAGAACCTGGGAAAACTGCCTTCTTGAAACCCTAGAGAGCTGCTGCCAGTAATGGCATCAATATGCCAAATGCTTTGGCACAACACAAAGCAACCTCATAACTTCAAGATTTCCTGTATCCTGCTTGCCGTAACTCCCGCATTTTTGCATAAAATGGGCTGTTCGTTTAGAATCCAGTAGTGCTGGCCAGTTATGCCGGCAAAGGGTACAATAAAGAAACTATTGACGCTGACTTGAGGAGAACAGTCCAATTGCTCGATAGAGAAGATGGTTGATTGCAATTTTCCTGTTTTGAAGCAGTTTTGCTTTCTGGACCGCACTGATGTGGAAATGCATTTATTGATTTAGATTTGCATTTGGAAGTGTTGGTACTATTAATGCTGTAAACACAAGCACAACACATTGGATGTGCGAAATGCTTTGCAAAGCTGCTAGTGAACTCATTGATCTTTTTACTTAATCTGTGGAATACCCAGGCAAGGCACTGCATGTCTTTTTTAGAACAGAGCACGAACTCTAGTTTGGATATTGTATGGGCCAGTCTTCCTAGAAGTGACTTCTGTTACATTGGTGATTTAGTGAGCATATGTCCATGTGCTTTGGGGTGATAAGAATACAGAATGTAACACGGGGAATTAGAGATGTGTTTTTAGGATTAATTACATTATCGATTAAATTTATTTTACTCCCAGTTCTATCAATGCTTTCAGTAAAACAAAGTAAAATTTAACATGTAAAACAGAGGTCCCATATAAAACAGCTATGCTGGCTGGAGTATTGTGGGAGTTGAAGTCCACAAGTCTTAAAGCTGCCAAGTTTGAAGACCTGATGTAAATCAAACCAGAGGCAATGAAGACAATCGAAAGACTGCTTTGAAAGTCTGCTTTTATATTTATGGGCATACAAATATAGAATACTTCTTTCTGAGACTTGCCAGAGAAGGTACAAAAACCTTGACTTTTAAGGTTTTAAAATTTGCATAATCTTGTCAAACAATGATTTGATAAAGCCACACTCTGAATGTTTAAAGTCTAAGTATCCAAACCAAGGGAGAATAATCTAAAAAAACCTCAAGGGAAAAGCTATTCAAAAGGGTGACAGAGAAGGTATGCCAACTCTTGGATTTTATGGGATAGGCAGAGACAAGTGGAGAAAAATCATCCTTCGGATATCCAGGCCCTATGTCATGTAAGGTGCCTTGAAGATGATAACTATCACCTTGAATGGTACCCGGAAGCCTGCTGGTAATAAATACAGTACAGTTAGGAAGATTACATGGCTGTACTGAAGTTTTCCATAACTACTTGTGCTCTGCATTCTGGACCAGCTGTAGCTTTTGAGTGGCATTCAAGGGCAGCTCCATGCTGCTGTATTCTATAGTGAAGTGACTTGGGCAGAGAATCCAAATAAATAACCTCCTCTACACTCTACACTTGTTACCAGCTTGTAAAAGGAATTATATATTTAAAATCATTATGAAGGTGGTAACTATGTAGAATGATATAATAGCTGCCTTGCCACTTCATGTTTACTCAAACATTTTTATGAGCCTCAGTTGCTGCCTTTGAGGTGCTGTTTACAGATTGAGGGTGCCCATGCTGAATCTAAAGCAGTATATCTCAACGTCATTGACATTAACATGTGTGGACTTCAATTCCTAGCTCAATTAGGGAATTCTGGGGAGTTGAAGTTCTCAGGTCTTAAAATTGCTGAGTTTGACAAACATTGATCTAAACCAGTGGTGGGTTGCTACCGGTTCGCCGCTGATCGGGGGAACCGCTGGCAGTGGTGGGAGTCTCCACCCACCCGCCTGGGCGTCTCTATGCATGCGTGCACGCCCACGAGCAAACCAGTAGTGATGGGATTTGAAACCCACTACTGATCTAAACCACCTTTCAATTCATATCTTGACCAGAAAACAGAGACATGTTTAAATGGTGTAGAGCTGTTTTGCTTTATTCATAAGGGAGTGGGGGGTGTCTTCTTTCCAGGGAATAAAACACTTATTCAAGATGGTGAAAAATATTTTGTGGGGATAAAAGGGATGTAGCCATGCGTACTTAGTTTTGCATCAATGAATACATTATGACCCCTATGGCCGTCATTTTGTGAAAGTGTTCATGATATGTTGTTAAAACTCTAGATAAGTCCTCTAGCACAAATGTTGGATTAAATCCACCTTGGTTTATGTAAATCTAACAAACTGTCTTCATAGTCTTAAACAGATGTCTGTTAGGAATTATATGCCTTCTTATTTGTGCAAGGTCTATTGTATTATGTATCTTCAGAAAATGTCCAGTAAAGCACATCAAATATTATTAAAATGTATAAAACACAAACCATTAGCTGAGAGATACCAAAAGGTGGCATGAATAATTACCGGTAGGTTTCAACATATACCTTGATAGCAGGATAGTGCTTTTTCTGTAGGGAGATTTCCTTAGGTTTCTATAAATTGGGTTCCACGACAAAAAAGGTCTTTTTACAATTTGATGCCTATTGCATATTCCCAAATTTAATCTCCAGTGCTGCTAGTTTTGAACTTTTTTAGGTGTTTGAGAAAAACTTAAATGGTGGTTGGTTATTTCCACTCAAAGAAATTAGTGCCAAACTAGAACGAACCAGTGATCTACTCGATGGAGGGAATGTTTACATGTTTACTAACCACCTCTTTGGATGTACTTCCACAAAGGTCTATATTTTTTTAAAAAAAAATTTAGAGGTGATTTTTAATGTAGGTCATTTTCCCACTACTGCACTACTGCATTAAAGTACTATCTATCCTTGAGTCAGCAGAAAACTATGACATTTGCTGCCCCACTATTCTCCCTCAATTGCTTTGTTCTCACTCACTGCTGAATGGTGCTGTCCTGTCTGTGCATGTGAACGTGTGATAAGCAAAGCGATTAGTTCACATCCTCCCTCTTCTGCCCATCACTGGCCGACAGGAAAAACATTTGTCAATCAAGGCGATGCAGCAGCACAGACAGTGCATGCCTGGATGCAGGACTCTGGTATCGTCGCCAAACTGCTCCTTGTCCTCTTCCTCTGGCCTATTTTCTTGTAAACTGAACTGAATATGTTTTTTTTTTTTTTTAAATGACCAAAGTCACAGAGCAAGCTGAGTCAGAAGCAGCATTTTAAAGTAGGATTCTTTCCTTTCTTTAAATAAGCAACAAATGCTTATTTTCAGTTTCCCTCCACACTCTATTTGGGGAACAGTTAGGGGGGAATTGGGCTGGTTCCCGCATTTCATGAATACCCTGCTTCAACCTTTCACCAAACTATAGTGTTACTGGATGATCAGCGTAGCACTGTTGCACAAGCCTTAAAGACTACCAAGTGCATCATTGTTGTGTCTAGCTTTTTAAGGAGACAACAGCAGAATGCCAGCAGATGAGACAGATCAGGGACTGGAAGAAAGGAAAAAATAAAAACAGAAATCCCTCCGTTTTCAATCTGAAAAAAGCCAATAAGGGTCACTTTGTTCCTTCCCGTTACTGATCTTCTGACTTTATCTCCTGATAAACTGTCGCAAAACTGTCACAGATTTTACAAACCTTGTTAATGGGTGCTATTGAGGGAGAATACTGTTTTAAAAGCCATATTGAAACTGGTCTTCCTGGTCTAGGAATGAGAGGAAGGGAATGCTACAAGGACACAGATAATGGCCAGGGATATTTCTGCCCCACTTAGATGCAATGGGAGAAGAGATATTGAGGGGTCTGCGAAGAGCCATTTCGCCCCATTCAAAATTTGCTTAAATCTTTGGATAGCTTATTTCTAAAGCTGTCTATCCAACAGTATTGCTATTAATCAAGAATGCAAGTCTTCATGTTGTGTAAGATATTTTCTATTAAACAGAGATGAAGACATTGATTTTTTTTTATACCCACTGCCCTTTGGGCTTTGAAATCTATACCAGGTTAGTTCATTCTTATCCTTTCTTCATCCCTAAATGCCAGCTCTGTGATATCAGGCAGCAGCTATGTAAATATTTATTGCTGCTGTAGTTGTTAATGTTGAAGAGGGGTTTGGAAGAGCATTGTCTTGGCCTACTAATGCAGGAAACCTTTAATTCTGTCTCTGTGAAGATGCAAGAACAGGAAAAGTTGGTGTTTGGTTTTGGAGTGACGTTGATGTGACACTTAACTTCCGTGGTTCCTCTTTTGCTGTAGCTTGTCATTTGTATTAACAGTTGGAACTCTGTTACCTCCTGACTAATGAAACATCCTTTTTTTCTGCCCGTTTGACCAGGGTGCTTCTCCAGTAGAAGACAATGGGACTTACAGATGTCTTGAGGCTTGACTTTGTTGGGACTAATGTTATAACAGCCACACTGACTTTTCTGGTGATAATGTTGGTTCTCCTTGCTTGGTAAGTGGATTTATGAGTTAAACTTTCTCAAATACAGTTTAAAGGAACAATGAGATCATGACTGTTTGGTTTCCAAACTAAACTTATTTTTGAAGAACAAAATCCACAGACCTTTGTGATACTATCAATTTAAGGAAGACACTGTCCATCTCAAGAAGTGGATTCAGGTCTGCAAAAGGTTACCTCTGATAAAGATTTTAAAATAATCCCTTTAAAATAATCTAAGACAGTTGAATATATGTGACTATGGATGTTTTGCAACAAAACATGTTATGTCATATTAAAGACTAATATATTTGTGAAATTAGAAAGAGTTACACTTACAGTTGCAGGAATTCAACATCATTATCAACTGGTTGCTTGTTTGAAACTACGGCAGTTAAATTTTAATTAGACTCCTCTTCTATGAAAGAGTTTCTGTGTTGATGCTGGTGTAAACTATTCTTTGTACCTCTGATTCAAACATGTCACTCAACATTATTTCCATAACAATATGTGGTTTGTGATTCTTCTTGACATAAATGATTAGAATAACCAAGGGCCTTTTATGCTATATTATTGAGATCAATTAATAGAAGGAAATAAAGAAATTGATTGACTTAACTTTTTTAAAAAAACGACCAAAAGTAAAACAAAATATATTGAAAACTCATACTATGATTAAATGACTGTTCTAAATGCTTTTAAACTGGGTAATTGTTCTTTTTCCTTTTCCTTACTCCAAGTCTCCGTAGGAATTAATTTATATTTATGTGATTATTTTGTTTCAAAATAATGGGAATGAAATGAGTAATAGTCAGCTGGAAATATTTCTTCTGATACATCTCTGCATATAAATTTTACTTTTCCAGCTCTACTATCTTCTGTTATCCAAATATTTTCTGCTTTATAATATTCCTATAAATCATATCTCAAAACCCACAAATTCATAAATCTTTATGGAACTACCCTCTTCATTCCCATACCTGTGAATCAATTTTTATCTTGTAAACTTTTTAGGGTAGCCTCAAGGTTCTGTAAAGTGCTAGCATATAGTACTACTGTTAATAATCGCTATTACTGTTGTTATCATTTATTATTTTACTGTATTTCTGTTCTTTTGAGCACATTTGGAATTTTGAGAGCATGTCATAGGTCTCCTCCCAAAACAGCTATTGTTGGGACATTTATTCACAATGGTGGTTACAGGACTGTCATACAACATTCATTTACTATAAGACCAGTTCTAACTATATAGGATTCTGTGTATATCACTCCAATGCAACATTTCTTTGTTTTTGTTTTGTTTTTTGTAGGTAAGTAGACACTTTTCCACATATAACACTGAACCAGTTCCCTCCATCCTCATTTTGTTTTTCTAAAAATGCCAACTGGGCCTTTGGGGGAACTTTGAAAACAAGATGCTATAGGTTATGCTTTCCTTTGTAGCATGACAACGTTCCATTTTCAATTAAAAATTAAAGTCAGAGTAGGGAACCACCTGGCAAATATCATATAAAGTGTTTATAGATTCACTGGTGTTCATTGGCAGCATAAAGCTAACTCTGCTTTAGTGATAGAAGGCTAACTTGGGTCCTTTTTTGAAAAATATTCCCTTGCATTCCTAGATTTTCCCAAAGCTACTTTTTCCAAGGAGAATTTATTTTCATTACTTTGGGGGTCTAATGTATTACTCATACAGGAACACAATGTATGTCTAAAGCTGAGAATATGTGGATTAATGTGCCTAGGACAATTGTTTTAGGTGACTCTTGTTTAAGGAGGGATACTTTTTTTAGTAGTCCTTCAAGTCAGCAGTGTTTTGCAAAAATTAGATCATTTTAAGCTGTTATCAAGCAACTGGATGAAACTGTCTATCTAGATCTGTACCAGTTGGGTTTCAGGCAGGTTTACAGCACGGAAACGGCATTGGTCACATTGGTTGATGATCTCTGGAGGGCCCGGGACAGGGATTGTTCCTCTGTCCTGGTCCTATTAGACACCGTGTTGTGGTGGTTCTCCTCCTTCCTCTCTGACGGTACACAGTTTGTGTTGGCAGGGGGTCAGAAGTCGACTTTGAGGCGCCTTGTTTGTGGGGTGCCACAAGGGTCGGTCCTCTCGCCCCTTCTGTTCAACATTTATGTGAAGCCGCTGGGTGAGATCATCCGTGGTTTTGGGGTGAAGTGCCATCAGAAGGCTGATGATACTCAGCTGTACATCTCCACCCTGGACCACCCCAATGATGCCCGGTTCCTGGAGGCCGTGCGGATCTGGATGGGGAGAAACAAGCTCAGACTTAACCCTTCCAAGACCAAGTGGCTATGGTTTCTGGCATCCCGATATAGCCAGCTCTCCATTGCTGACTATTGGGGGTGAGATCCTGACCCTCTCAGAGAGGGCTCGCAACTTGGGTGTTCTCCTGGATGCACTTTAGAAGACCATATGATGGCTGTGGCCAGGGGAGCCTTCTATGAGGTTCGCCTGATCTACCAGTTGTGTCCCTTTCTGGACCGGGATGCCTTGCGCATGGTCACTCATGCCCTTGTCACGTCTCGTCTGGACTACTGTAATGCTCTCTACATGGAGCTCCCCTTGAAGAGCACCCAGAGGCTCCAATGGTCCAGAATGCGGCCGCACAGGTAATTATGGGTGCGACACGGCGCACCCATGTAACACCTCCTGCGCGAGCTGCACTGGCTCCCGGTGATCTTCCGGGTGCGATTCAGGGTGCTGGTTACCACCTTTAAAGCGCTCCATGGCTTAGGACCTGGGTATGTACGAGATCGCCTTCTGCCACCGGTAGCCTCCCACTGGCCAATATGCTCCAACAGAGAGGGACTCCTCAGAGTGCCGTCGGCCAAACAATGCCGACTGGTGACACCCAGGGGGAGAGCCATCTCTGTGGGGGCACCTGCCCTCTGGAATGACCTGACCCTGGAGGTTCATATGATCCCCGACCTTCGTACCTTTCGCCGTGTCCTTAAGACTCTTTTGTTCCAACAGGCCGGGCTGGCTTAGAATATGAATTTTAAATTGGGTTGTTTGTTAATTTTTAACTTTGTGGGCCAAATTTTATATATTTGTTTTAAATTGTTTTTACATTTTGTGAGTTTATGTGTGTTTTAACATGGCTGTACACCGCCCTGAGTCCTTCGGGAGAAGGGTGGTATAGAAGTTTAATAAACTAACTAACTAACTAACTAACTCTAAAGAGTCTTGGTTTCTTGGTTATGATAATTGTGGTTTTGAACTGTTTGGTCCACTATCAACCAACAAATAATGCTCTGATTTGGTTTTGAGCCAATGTTGCAGTTATCGAAAAGGGATGGATGGGTGATGGATGGATGGATAGATGGATGGATGAATAATAGGTAAGCATGAGGATATAGATGCACTGAAAATACTTTAGGTAAAGATAAAAGTTTCCCTCGCACATATGTGCTAGTCATTCCCAACTCTAGGGGGCGGTGCTCATCTCCGTTTCAAAGCAGAAGAGCCAGTGCTGTCCGAAGACGTCTCTGTGGTCATGTGGCCGGCATGACTAAACACCAAAGGCGCATGGAACGCTGTTACCTTCCCACCAAAGTGGTCCCTATTTTTCTACTTGCATTTTTTACATGCTTTACATGCTAGGTTGGCAGAAGCTGGGACAAGTAACGGGAGCTCACCCCATTATGCAGCACTAGGGATTTGAACCGCTGAACTGCCCACCTTTCAATCGACAAGCTCAGCATCTTAGCCACTGAGCCACGGTGTCCTGATACTTTACTGAGATTTAAATGAAAAAGTATTATCAATGCTTTTGAACTTTTGAGGATAACAAGCGATGTAGTTCCTCATCTGTAGTATTATTGCTATAAATAGTACATTTTAAAAATCTTTAATTGAACAGGGAGATAAGTTGCCGCTGTCTGACCTTGGTGTGCTTATTCCAGTTATGGCTTTACTTCTCCTGCTTGTGAATGCCTTGATAAAATTAATGCAGGAATTTGCCTCTCATTTAAAGTTTAATGTACCGTAAGCTTTGCATTATGAAGAAGCTGTCACTGCTTTCAGACATCGTTGTTCAAAGTAGAGTTTCACCACCTTATCTAAACAAACCTAAGTGTTTGAAATGTGGAAATAGAGTTGTAGCTCTCTCTTTCCTTCCCACTCCCCCTCCCTCCCTCCCTCTCCCGTCTCTCTCTCTCTCTCTTTCACACACACACTATATGTGTATGTATAGGAGGGATACATTTCAAATTTGCTTGTTTCATAATTCTGAAATGTGCACTTAATGAAGCTTGTCTGCATGCACACATTGTGACCTTCCCATTTTCTGTTTGAGATAAAGCCTCCCTCCATCCTTTTCTGCTTATTATTTCAGTCCAGGTGCTAATCTCACTTTTTCATATACCGAGACGGCGGGTTCAGATTCTGTTCTTTATCTGATCCTGCTTAAAAATGTCTTCTGTTTCTCAGCAGAGGTGGCAATGAGCCCCTTCTCTTGGACTGTGACTGTACTGCATTAGACTACTGGATGCAGCTTTCCAGTGTTAAGTTCAACACCCGAATAGTGCTGTGATATGTCTCCCTTCTCAGTTTTGGAAGATTAGCACAGGCAGAGCTGGGTCTTAAATGGCCTCTTTGTTAGGCACATGTTGTGGAATGCCACGCTTTAAATGATATGCTGGCTGATAGAAGGGGTTTGTGAAAATCAACCCTGATGTGCCTGGGCTAATGCTGGTAGCAAAACATTTGCGTCACTTGTCATTTACCCTGCAAAGATAACCTTCGTGCTTTTTGAGTGAGCAACTTCTTGGCTGTTGGCTGTTGTATTTTTGTCAGCTCTTTGGTTATAGAACTGTGTTTCCTTGTGTTTTTTTTTTCTTAATAGAAATCGCTTAGCTTCGTCTCTTTTATAGTAGAGGAGAATATGCTATTACGGTAGTAACTGTATTCCATAGAACCACATAGCCAGATTTTGGGCTTACAGATGTTTGTTTGGCAAATGGGAGGAAAATTCCCACCTTCCTTGCTAA